CAAAAATGAAACCGACTGATTCTACCTCTGGGAAATACCTCCAAGTATCTGCAGTAAAAATTTCAACCTGATCGGTTGTATCGCCTTCGAGAATTAGAAGTAGTCAAATAAGATGAGAGAATCTTTAATGAGAAGGTAGGTCTACATTTTTAGGAACCCGGAGTCGACCATCATCGAATCTATAAGATTCCGCAGTTTGCAGTATTTCTGTAACAATAATGCTTTTCTCAAAATCCTAAAAAAATTCATGTTCATAAATCTGAATTCTCTTTTTGTTTTTGTTAGCTACTCATGATCGAAAATTCGGAAATGAATTAGTTCCATCTTCATCGTCCAATGATCCATCATTACCACTTCATCAACGTACAGCAACTGATGTAAGATTATATATATATATATTTCTTATTTAATATTATATTTTTGTTTTATTAAACAGCTTACTACTCATTCAACAGTATCGAAAGCTAATGAAACTATAGCACGAACAATTAAACCACCTATAACAGATAATAAATCTACTAGAGATAATAAAGTAATTTATTCAAATTGTATTTATTATTTATTGTAGAAAAATTTTTCCTTTTTTAATTTTTAGACAAAATCTACTACTTATGAAAAGACTGATGCAATATCATCATTAGGTTCAAATCAATTATTTGAAAAAGTAATTCGATCTATTGTTTTTTTTTTTTTTTTTATAAACCAAAAAATAATGTTAATATCTATTTCAGAGTACATTTTTGGATTATGATGATAAACAATCTATTGGTACAGTTGGTGATGATTATAATCAAAAAATAAATTCTCTTAAAACTATCTGGGATGCATCCGAACATCCAAGGTATAGTAAAAAAACATTTTATCATTATTTCCTAATAGAATTGTTTTTTTTTTTAGTGTACAACTTGAACAAACAATAAATACAATGGTTGCAATGAAACAAAAACAAAAACAATCAGATAATAATATTTCAAATACAAATTCGACGAAAACTGATAATTATGTACAAGAATCAAAATCAACATCATCAACAAATATAACAGTTCCAAATACAAATGTTTCATCAACAGCAAATGATGATACAAATAATAAAATTACAACATCAACAGGTAATTTACAATCAACAGGATCATCATCAACAATTAATCAACCACCATCAACATATTCAACTAATACTGTTACAAGTAAAAATGAACAAAAAAATATTTGTACTGTAAGTATTTAATTCTCTCTATATAGTTAAGCATTCAACAGTTGAAAAGCTGTGGGGTAGAACTCGTCCGGTCTAAAATTTTCAAATCGACATTGAATAATCGCCCTGAAAATAGGAGATGGCTTTTTTTGTATTCAGTGACTAGCGCATCGTACACATTCCTTAGACGACTAGAGTCCGTCGGCGGATCGAAAATTTTCCGACGCGAACTCGGACCTGACTGGGTAGAGTATCAAACCGATGGGCTCTACTGCAGATCCAGAAAACCATAGATCCGCAATTTCCTAGTCAACAGACATTATAGTAAACTAAAGTGATGAGGAAAAGTTTAGAAGCAACGATTCTTTTGTTTTTTTTTTCATAATGTTAAGCACGTAACTCCAATCCAAATAGTGATTTTAATAGCCAATGAAGTTTTCTATCCAATACACTATATGGCAAGATTTCACAGATGAACAATAGTGGCAAGGATCCTTAAAAACTGAATATGGTATTTTTCAAGTTCTAGAAGACTTCGCCAGAGCTATTTTTAAACGGTGCCATCTTGAAGAACACAAAATTCTGAGAAAAATGAGGGATCGCCGAGTTTTCTAAGACCTTCTCATAAAAAGTTACAAGCATCACAAAAATCATGAAAAAACGAAATTTTTTTAAACATCGACTAAAAACGCCTTTTTCATGATTTTTGTGATGCTTGTAACTTTTTATGAGAAGGTCGTAGAAAACTCGGTGATCCCTCATTTTTCTCAGAATTTTGTGCTCTTTAAGATGGCATCGTTCAAAAATAGTTCTGGTAAAGCCTTCTAGAATCTGAAAAATACCATATTCAATTTTTAAGGATCCTTGCCCTCATTGTTCATCTGTAAAATCTTGCTATAAAGTTTATTGGATAGAAAACTCCATTGATTATTAAAATCACTATTTGAATTGGAGCTACGTGCTTAACATTATGAAAAAAACCAAAAAAATCATTGTTTCTAAACTTTTTCTCACCACTTTATTTATTGATATCTATAAATAAAATGAAATTTATCTTTAGGTAAAACCAACTCAACAAGTTGCACCTAATATTCAAGATCAAGTTGATGTAACAAGTTATCAAACATTTGCAGCTCCTCCATTAGTACCACCAATATCTCAAACATCATTACAACAACAACAACAACATATACTTCCACAATCTCAAGTTAATCCATTACATCAACAACATTCATATCAATTCTATGAAAATCTTTTACCAGCTCCACCACCACCACAAATTCCACAACAACAACCACCACCACAACAGCAACAACAATTTAATCGAGTAATATTTTATTTCTGTAAACGAAATTTCTTTTGTTTTTTATTCGATGAGTTGAGATTTAAATTAAACAAAAATAAAAATCCCATTCCCTTCCATCGCATATTTATATATATAGATTTATTCATCAACTACAAATACTACCAGTACGGATCCGATAAATTCAGATTTTTCGAGTGTTCAATCTTCACAAATCGTAAGTTTGTCACTGTATCCTTGCTTTATCGTTGTAAACTATATGTATATATATGTATATATATATATATATATCTTTCTCTATGAAGTGTAAATTCAAAATGTTAAAAAAAACATTTTGAATTCTTGTATATATTTATCCATATGCCATATCTTTGCTTTATTACTTTCTATTTATGTATAGAAATGAATACACTATTTAACTAACACAGATATAGATTTAAAATAATTTTATATTATCAAACATTTATTATAATTCTTTTTTTTTAGTATCCACCACAAAATTTTCCATATCGAAATACAAATGTCTTCTTACCACCACCAAATGTACCAAATACAAATTCAATGTATCATCATACATCACAAGGTTCAATTTCTGGTAATTTACACTCACGAGAGAACTTTCTGCTCCTCCAACTGAGTAATCGAGTTTAAGCACATCCTACGTCAATTTTTGAAACTCCTACCATTGGATTTCCTGTCAACAAGCTCTCTTATCCATTTCAAAACTTCTCAAGAAAAATTTCAAATCGAAGTTTGAATATGAATTTTTCTGATGGATACTACCGCATTGAATTAAAAAATATAATAGTTCATTAGAATCTACATGATATACATAGTCACAACTTAAAAGTGATTAATCAGTTGGAGGAGATTTTTCCTTTGTTAATTTAAATATTTCGAATATAATAAATATTTTAGCTCCACCACAAAATAACGCAATGCCACCACCACCAATGACTAGTTATCCATCACCATTTTTAGTTGATCATGGTGGTCATATGATTAGTCAACCACAACCTCCACCACAAGCATATATGAGTATGTGTTATTGTTGTTGTTGTTGTTTTTGAAAGAAAGATTTGAAATAATTTTATATTTTTATTTTTTTTTTCTAGATAATCAAATGATGTCTGGTCGACCACAAGGTACACCATACTATCGAACACCACCACAACAACAATTACAAACACCTCCAGCACCACCTTATGGTACTCAAGATCCATTAGCACATGGAGGATTTTATCCACAATTTTATCAACCACCACCAAATTCAAATGCTCCACCTGTTGGACATCCATCACCGCATAATGTAAAAAAAAAAATAATGATTTAAATTCTACATATATATATATATATATATATGTTATTTTTATTTTTTCTATAGTTATATGGACAAAATGAAGGTTTTCATCCAGCTCATCCGCAAATGTTTGCTCGTGCTGGTTCAATAGATCGTAATGATCATCCATTAATGTCTCAACCTCCACAATCATTATCACGTCCAACAAATTATCCTTCAACATCATCAAATCAACAACAACAAGGTCCACCACCATCATTATTATCACAAAATTTAAAATCATTTCATACAAATCAACAACAAACATCATCATCAAATCAAGCACCATTCTATCCACCACCACCAAATCAATATACTCGTCAACCAATGCCAATTGGTGCTATGAATACAACAAATAATCGTCAACAAACACAGCAAGTACCTAGTTTAATGAGTGGTTTAAGTAAAAATTTTTCAAGTAATACAAATAATCTTAATAATACACAATCATTATTTCAACATCGACAACCATTAATACCTTCACAATCGAATAATAATCGTCCGTTATATCAACATCATACAACACCATATTCAAATTATTCAAAATCAACTGGTCCGAATGATGATAATATTAAACCAAAACATATATAAACAGAAAAATCGTTGACATTTCGTTCTTGTTTTTTCTTTTCATTAAACATTTATTCGTTCTTTATGCTTTACCTTTGGTTTTTTTTTCTTACTTTCTCTCTCATTCTGTTGTTGTTGTGTTTGCGTGTATTTGTGTGTTGATTAAAAGAGAGAAAAAGTATATATCCTTTTTGTTTTCTTTTTTTTTTGTCTAACCTACATCATTTATTATTCGATATTGTATATGTATCACTTTCTTGTTGTTGTGCTCGAGAGTAACGAAAAACGATTTAGCAAAAAAAAAAAATAAGACACTTATCTTGTCTTTTCAAGAAAATTAGCACACACACTCTCTCTCTCTCTCTCTCTCTCTCTCTTCCTTATCCTTGTTCTGCTTCTTTCGTTTATTTCACTTTTTTTTTTTGTATAGCAATCCATGTTTCTCTCTCTTTTTTTTTACTATATTTACAGACAATACACTTTAACGTTCGTTTGTCTTTAAGAAACAGACAAAAACAAAAGCAAAGATTCATTCTTATTGTTGTCCTACGATTTATTATCGATCATATGTTTCAGATAAAAAAAAAAAAAGAAAAATGTCCAATATAAAAAATATTGAAGAAGAAAAACAAATACTATCTGAACATTTAAATGCATTAAGTACAACAGAATTACATGCATTTGATTTACAATTAACATTATTACGAACAGCATTTGAATCATATAAACGTGAAACTGTATTTAAACCATGTCCATCATTTCTTGTTGGACTTAGTGATGATCAATTGGTAAGTTATAGAGAGCTAACAAAATCCATTGTTATGATCTTTAATGAACTTTCATCGATAAATAATAAGAAAATATTCGTAGTAAATGTTAGAAGAGATGAGCATCACGCCTAAAGTCTTTTCGTTCGGCGCCCACGCTTAACGGTAATATTACGAAAGGATATTTAATTAGGTAAGATGTAGCCGGATGTATTTATATATATATAGATACTTATAGGATTATCGTTTCCGTATTAAATTAAATTTGCGCATATGTAAATTTAAGGTGAATTTATAAATTATGTTTCGCATAATGAAAGTTACTAAATTTTAAGGAATGAGTCTAGTTTAGCAGTTGGTATGAGTAAAGCACGGTCGCAGTACAAATCTCGGGCTGGTATTATTTCATTTCTCAATATAATTTTTTTTCTCATATTTGATAATAGTTTTAAGAATTTTACATATTAAGTATTATTACTTTGCTCGAGAATTCAAACGTAAAAATCTCGAATTGATCCAATCGAGTTTTTTTTTCGCTAGTACAATTTATAATACAATGACTTTCATAAGAGATCTTCATATCGCAGAGAATGCTAAATTCAATCATGTATAAATTGTTTGCAAGATTTATGTCGTAATTTATATATAATAACTGTCTGTAGGCGTGATTACCGTGACTGACAATTGTCACGGTCACAGCCGTGACCAGAATAATATTTCAAAATTTTTCTTATCATGGACAAAAAACATTCGCAGATGTTGATTTGTTTTTCAAACAAGACTTAGCACAACTTGTAGACTTTACTGAACTATCCTTACTATAAGATGAGTTCATGCTCATGGCTTGTTTTTAAAAAAATCGAACATTTTTAGTGAAATTGGGATTCTATATTTCCAAATTTCGACCTGAAATAGTATCGCTAGATAGGTCTAATAACTCTTAGAATGTTGAATTTTCAAGTGAACTTGATTTTTATAATATGTCTGTAACAAACAACCTTTTAGAAATTCAATATCTCAGAAAAGAAATATTCTTTTTAAAAGTCATTAGATCTATCTATAGACAAAAATTCAGTAAAACGATCATAACTCAGTAGCAAAGGTCTATAGAGATGAACTCTGTTAGGCTTTTTCTAGTCTTATCGAAACCTTCTCCATGGTCCAATATAAGCTCAAACGACGAATTACAATTCGGGTAGTTCCTTCGTAAGTCTCGAAATTCGATATAACTTAATAATCCAGATATAAGTATATCATAGAATCGATGAAAATTACTGGCAAACGTTACATATATATGCATATATATTTGTACTAGATATAATTCAATATTAAATTTTTTCTCAGGTTTTAATAAATAATAAAAAATAATTTCATGTCAAGAATGAAGCCTTTAGCAAACATCTGTTATGGCGAGAAATCTTTTAACTTTAGAATAATAATCAACACATGTTCTATTTTATCTATATTCTAATAAATAAATATTTTTCACATGAATTTATTACAGTTGAAAATCTGTCACTGTCGCAAAGATTTCCGAGAAACTCTTCGAAGCTCTCTTCTGCTACTATACTAAGTTAGCACAATTAGATTGAATCCATCAGAGACAAATATTAACAAGAAAGTAGCGTGAAAAACACATGAACTATTCTCATTAAGGCGTGTCTCTATGCAAAATTTCAAGTCCGAAAGTTTCAGACCCGACGAGTTCAAGTCATGGTATTATGCTAAAACATGCAATACCTCGATAGTAACAAGCTACTAACTAGAATTCTCTTCATAGTTCATTAGAACCTATGTTTTTTAATAATGAAAAAAAACTTTCTTTTTAGCGTAATGTCTTTCGTTTACCACCTGTAACTGTATTCATATCCGTATTGGATCAATTAAGTGACTTACAAGTTCAATTATTAAATTGGCTTCTAACTCGTGATACATTTAAATTAAATATGGTACCTGTAGAATCAGTATGTTTAAAAAAATAAGAAAAAGAAATTCTTTATAGTTTACAAAAAAAAAAAAACAATTTTTTTTAGGTACTTTCACTTGTAAAACATCAATTATCTGTTCCAATACCAAATTTTGCTTTTGAAATAAATTATAATCAAATTCGTAATGAACGTTTTAATGATTTAACACAAAATGATCATTATAAAAAACTTTATGCATATCATGGTACACGTTTAGATAATCTTCATTCAATACTTCATATTGGTTTTCTTGGACATATGAATAAATTATCATTATTTGGTTCAGGAACATATTTTTCTTTAGAACCATCTGTATCACTTCATTATTCACCATTTGCAACTGTTTGGCCAAATAGTTTATTAGGTAAACGACTTAGTTGTCTTTTATTATGTGAAATTATTGATCAACCTGATCATGTTAAACGTGCAATTGAAAGTAATTTTTGTTATAATAATTTTATTAAAATAAATAATAAATATCTTTGATTTTAGATGAAACATCAAGCAATCAGGAACGAAGAATTGTTAGTGATAGTCAAGCTGGTGCTGTACCCGATAAATATGTTGTTGTTACATCAAATGAACTTGTAAGAGTCAAATATATTCTTATTTATGCGGAATCTAATGAATTACTACAGTAAATTATTTATTTATTTTGAATTATTATTTCTTTTTGTTTTTTATTTAAGAGTCAATCAAGTAACAAGATCTCGTTGGCGAACATTTTTTTCTACACATCGTTATCATCTTTGTTTATTTTTCTATTTTATTCTTCTTTTATTAATTGGATTTTTTAATTCAAATTTATTTAAATTTTATTGGCGTCTATTTAAAAAACGTTCAAATCATCTTCTTTTTGGTTCATGGCATTTGACTCAATAAGTATTTTGTTTTTTTTTTTTTTTTTTTTTTTTTATTTAAAATTTTTTTTTTTTTTTTTTTTTTTTTTTTTTTGTGCTACAAAATTCATTTCTTCAAATAAAATGTGCTTATATGCATGATAAACAGAAAAAAAAATGTCTTTATTTCAAGAATGTAAAACAAACTTATATACAAATGAAATTGATTTTTATGCATAAGAAATTTCATTTGTTTTCAATTTCGAATAAATAATTATAGAAAAGAAAAAAAAAAGGGTAAAGTTGAACAAAGAATTTCAATACAGAATAATTTACATTTTGTTTTCAACAGGTAAGATAAGGTGAAATTGAATATAGACCGTATTGAGTTTAAGTATTTGATATTGTTTGTCGTTTAGTTACTTTATAACATTTTTTTTTGTTCATCAATTTTATGCTTTTTTTTCCTTGATGACCGTTGCTGTGACATTTGATTCACTAGTGATTCTTCTTCGTTATTCATTTTTGTTCGTTATGATTTGACACAAAAAAAAAAAAACATATATATTTTTCTTTTATCTTATGTCTTGTGATAATCAACTCATTGAATAGTTAATGATTTATCTTGTTGCATTAGTGGCAACAGCCGTTCGATTGAAAAAATCAGCCATTATTGCTCGACTTTGATTCATATCACTATTATTATATTTCATCAAAAGAGGATTTTCAAAGAAACTCCTTGGTAATGGTCGATCAGCAGGATTTTTTGAAAGACATTGTTGAATTAATGAAGCAAATTCTGATGAATAACCACGAATTGTGGGTAATATAGGTGGTGTTTCATAAACAATACATTGAACTAGTTCAATAGGTCGTACAGCTAATGGTGGATAAGAACTTTCTGCTTGAAATGGATATCTACCAAGACCCATTTCAAGAATAGTCATACCAAGACTCCAAATTTCAGATGGTATACTATAATCATCTGAAATAACTCGTTCAGGTGCCATATATTTATGTGTACCAATAAATGTTGCAACTTTTTGACCTATTGTTTCTAAAACTCGACTAACACCAAAATCACATAATTTTATTGAACCTGAACTATTAACTAAAACATTTGATGGTTTAACATCACGATGCATTATTTTCTGATTCCACATACAAATAAGACCTTGAATCATTGATAATGTTATATAAATAAGAACATTTTCTGGTACAAGTATACCAATATATTGTTCAAGTGAACCACGATCCATATATTCAGTACAAATATGTACAGAATTTTCATATAAATAAGCACTATGTAATTGTACAATATAATCAGAATGTAATGCATTTAATGCATTAAGTTCAGTAACAATTTCTTGTTTTTTTTCATTTTTTTGAAAATCAAGTGATATGATTTTAACAGCAAGAATTTCTTGTGTTTGTCGATTACGACATCGTCGTACAATACCACCATTACCAGTACCAATTATTTCAAGCATATCAAGTGATAACATATTACCAGATGAAAGTATATGTTCAACATTTGCTTCAAAATTTGAAAATTTCTTTTTGTCATTATAATTTTCATCTGGATATGATGATGATATTGTATTTATTGTTAAATTTGCACGATTACGATTAACAATAGGTTGAAGTTTAAGTATTGGTTTAGAAAATTTTTCTTGTTGACACACACGAAAATAAAAATCTCTTAATGGACCCATTTCAAGTTCACTTGATACTGTTACTCGATCTCCATCATCATCTACATAAATAAATGATGTAAACGGATGTTTACATGATGAAAATGTATGTTCAGTTAAACGAATTAATGAATCAAAAGTTAATAAATCTTCTGATTCTAATGTTGCTAATCGACATTCACGTCCAAATTGAAATTGTATTTCAACAGTATTCATTTTCTTTTTCTTTGTTTTTTTTTTACTTTATTCTTTATGCATTTCTTTTTGTTCTTGAAAGAGAAACTTTGCACTATCGTCGAACTTTTTTTTTTGTGTGTGTGTGTGTCTCACTCAATAATAAAAACATCTGTCACCATCGTTGTATTTCCATTCTATCCAAATCTATTAGACAATAATCTAGTAAATAAACATCGTAATAAAATGAGAATATGTACATAAAAAGAGGAAGAAAAAAAAAAGAAGACATTATGTATACACTTACATACACTTGTATACATAAAATAACACGGATCAAATATGCTCGTATGCTTATGATTTTTTTTTCTTTTTACATATATGCACACTTACTCAAATAATCATTCTGTCATCAAAATGTCGTTTGTAGCACCATTCAGCTGATACACGCACACGTACATATGCATGCTCTTTTTTTCTTTTTTTTTTTTTCGTTTTCTTATGCGCATTTCTTTCAATCAGATTGTGCATATAGTGAAGGCGTGTGTCAATATTTTGATAGAATCAATCGTCCTCCTTATTCTTTGAGGTTATTATGCAGTTAAGAATAGAGAAGTAGATTCTTTTGAGCAAGTGGTAGTCATTTAGTTATATTCATAAAACTGACTTTTTTTATTAATATTCATCATGATAAGCACGTTTGCTTTTCAAATCAGCTCATAGAAAGCAAAAAAAAAACTCCGATAAGAAAAGAAGAGGAAGTTTATCTGAATGTATAAATAGTGCACGTATGTATGATTTATCTACTACCGATTAGTATTAGACAGATGGATGATGTTGAACGTGCTTATGTTCATATATACTCAGGAAAAAAAAAGAAAGCAGATCATAGAGTTAGCATTTGTTATATTTGAACAAGATGATTATTCATGATCGGATTGAAGAATAAGTTCACTACGATAAACAACATATGCACAGACATATACATGTATATATATATATGCTTTGTTCTCTTCCGACATCGATGTGCTTCATTTATGAGAAGTTTTATTGTGATAGAAAGTTAGTTCAATGTGTCATGTCTATAAAGTATTTTACACTTGTTATTATTTCGTATATATATACGACACCATCATCATTCGATTGTTTACAACCTTTTCACCTCTATATATTTTTCTACTTGTCGATGTGCAAGTATATATATATATATATATATATGTGCGCGCTATTCAAAGCTCTAGGGTGAAATTCTATCGTCTAGTTGTCGTTTCTTTTATGGGTTGAAATTATGTGGCAATAACGGCCGCATCAACTTTCTTGTTCTCTTGTCCTCACGTCGTACTGTGTATACGCATTCGACGGATGGCATGAGTAGGGAGTATTCTCTTTCTCTCTCTCTCTCTCTCTCTTCTTCTCTCTTCCACCCGCGTTATAGCAACTCCTAAGCATAGCACTACCCTTTCTTATATCAACTAGAAGATCTATCAGACGCAGAATGACGAAAAGGAAGGAAAAAAGAAAAAGGCGGCGGACGCGATGCTAGGAAAGAGAAAATGTCATTTCCATTTCTTCTTCTTTTCCGTCGGTTGTGTTCCATCAAATAGTGCAATAGAGTAGTGGCGGCAGCGGTGGACGACGGTCGGGCAAGTTCACCATTGACGAACAGCGTTCTTTCTTTTCTCTTTACCTGTGCAATTGAAGAAGAATAAGAAGAAGAAAAAAACGAGCGAAGCAGTTGATTACCATCGTCATGTACATGTTCGCTATGTATACCTCTTTTTTCACTCTATTCATTTTTCTACTCTTCTAGACAAGCCGTCAATGCTGTCCAGTCTATCGTTTCTATACGACTGATTTAAAAAAAAAAACAAAACAAAGACACACACATATATATAGATGTGGTATCCGCCTCAGCAACCGCATCAGCCGAATTGGCATGGATATATGAATAATAGTTCAACACAACAACAACAACAACAACAACGAACTTATTCGAGGACTTCATATTATTGTAATACTGATGAATCATCGATTACAAATCGAACAAATACTCATATAATACCAATAAATGATAAGAATGAATCATTTGTTCATTTTAATACAATACGCACTGATGAAGTTAACGGTAAACAAAACAAAAAAAATTTTTTTTATACAACATATTTCATTTACACTTGAGACTAAGGCTAATCATTTATATGAGTGTAGTAATTTATTACATTTTTTAAGGTTTCATTATTTTATAAGTAGACAAATAGAACGAGAACGAGAGAGAGAGAGAGAGAGAAAATCAAGGCAGTTATACATATGCATGTGTGTGTACATAGGTGCTTGTATATGACATGTTTTGATCAATAGTATTCAGTACCTATATATATAAGAAAACTAATTGTTGCATTTCCATCTGTAACTATTACTATTACAGCCGTTCTCCTTGGTCTTGCGTAATGATGTAAATGGCGACAAACGACGATAGTAGTCGTGCTCGTAGTATAACTTATTCAATTCAACTACTCGTTTTTTTTAACAAGTTGATCGTTCGATCAATCAAATATGTAGCTACTTGTAGATACTCATGCATGCAGTTTCTATCCAACACTATTGTGTTTTATGAACATAACCAAACGATGATAGAATGTAAATCAAATTAGAACGATTTTCTATGAAGAAAAAAAAAACAGGAGAAACGACATCATTCTAGATTAGAGACATTGTATGTGTGTGTCCATATGAGTACTAAGGAAATCAAAATGCCAATAGCAATAAGATCTGTCAAAAATATACTGACGAAAAAAATTTTGCTCTGTATTACTGATGATTTATGTCGATAACGTACAAGGAACATTTTTTTTTCTGCTCTCTTGTCATTAGACTCATTTCGAAAATCATTATTACCGCTATCCTTGTATGATACGTATCTGATAAATATATTATAAGAAAAAAAAAAAAGTCGAAGCAATAAATTTATGTTGTCTATAGGAAAGATATTCGTTGATTAGATGGCCATGATATGTCATGTTTTCGTTCGATTTGTATAAAGTAAAAGGACAAATTGAAACAAGTAATTTAGAAACAAAGAATAGAAATCTATATATATATATATTTTTTTTTCTATTAATTTTTAAAATTGTTGTTGTGTATAATTAAAGATAGTAATTCTCGTTTGTTCAGAGGACTAGTATTCTTGTTTATCGTCCTTTTGTTTCTCTGAATTGAAAGGCAGTTAGGCTAAGAATGAAGAGAGGCTGTTGAAGTGTCAGAAATAACAAAAAAGAAAAAAAGAAGAAGAAGAAGAAGAAGCAGAATGGAAAACGTTTCTCTCCGGCGTTCCTCTCCTTGCTTCATAATTAGAATGAATATTCCGTTGTTTGGTCGTCGACATACACGACTATATGATGCAGAGAATCAAAAAAGCAGGGATCGTCAATTATCTTCGTCCGTTTACATTTGTCATAGAGTGAAATAATTATTCTACCATATTAAGAGTGTACAGAGAAAAGAAAACTGCCAATTATATAGACATCATCTGTTCATATGATAGTATACAGTTGATAGTCAGCTGGTGATCTGTGCGTATATAGATAGATTACCAAGCTTATGTTTTATTGAATAATGATACGTTTTTTTTTTCCTTGAAGGGAGTATTCTCATCATCAGTAATGTTTTATTGATGAACCATTTAATGAATTTTCTTAGATGTGTCTTGTCAGTTTGCTTCTTTATCTTCTTTTTTTATTTATTTCTTAGTTTTTTTTTCTCTCGAGTCATTTTTTTTGTTTCTTCTCGACTCGATGAATGTGTATGTGAAGAAGTATATATATATATATATATATATATTTTTGTCTTTCCATTCTTTGATCGTTTCTGTCTCTTTTATGTATATGCTGACGTATGTTCATTGTTATGACATGTTTCAATTATCATTATGTTTCTATTCTAGTTATTGGTACAACAGACTATCACAATACTAATTCTACCGGTTCTTATAGTGATGAAATGTTGTCATCACCTTATCAAACATCAAATACACATTGGAATCCAGTTGTTAGCTCATCAACAAAAGCAACATCGATTATAATTAATTCACCACAAAAAAATTCTATTACTACAAATATATCATCATCATCCTCGTCATCATCATCTTCGACGTCAGGTTGTTGGGATTGGCTACTTTATTCACCTGATATTTATTCTCATTTATATATACCTTCATCGTCTTTCATTCAACAACAACAGCAAGATGATGATCTTGATCTATTAGCGAGATTACCAACATGGTTACTCGTTTTACTTTATCCATCTATGAAATATAACCATAAAATGGACGATGAGAATGATAATGATCAAGAGATAATTTCTCTTAACAATAATAATAATACTAATAATCATGACGAGGCATTATTATCGATGAATATCGATAAACAAGTTAATCAAGTCTCGTCAAATTTATCCTTATCGTCCGAACATACTCTTAATTGTCAAAAAATACAACAAAATCGTTCATTAACACCTGATACAGATGATGGTTATCAATCAGCTAGTGATGCTAGTCGTAGTGATTGTTCACAACAATCATCTTTACAATATGATCATAATAATAATAATAATAATAATAATAAAGATGATATTATAAATAATACTTCATCAGTACTTATACCAAAACGTATATCATATGCAGCTGCTGTAAAACCAATAGGAACATCAACAATAAATAATAATAATAATAATAATAATAATAATAATAATAATAATATAAGTTCGTTATCAACACCAATTATTAAAATAAAAAATAATTCTTCATCATTAACAATAAATGATATATCAAATAATAATGGTCAAAAATTAAAATTTGTTGCTCCACGTTTTGAACGAATGCATCATGCTAAACAATATTCATCTTCAACAACGACAACAACAACTGCAATTAAAGATATATCTTCAACAAATCGAGCACAAATTCGTTCGAATAATAATAATAATAATAATAATCAACGTAATCATATTAATAACTTAGCAAGACGTCGTTAACAAAAAATAAACTCGTTTCTCTTTGACTTTATTTCTATATTAAACCATTCAACAAGACAAACTTTCTTTTATCTGTGTGTGCGTGTGTGTATTTCTTTGTTGTTCGTCTGTCTTCTTTTTCTTTCTTTCTTTTTTTTTGTTTCTATGTTGTATTAGAATCAAGTCAGTTAAGCAAAGCAAAAAAAAAATGGATGATGAGATGATTTTATGTAGGTAAAATCAGCAATACCTACATGCATATATTTGTCTACATGTCATGTTTAGCATGAATGAAAAACGCGCTTTATTACTCTATATATTCTATTGATTTGATAGGTCACGAACTTATAATCATGGATCACTTTGATAGATCGCATTGCTATATATTGAATATGAAATGCCTATCTGATGAATGATCAATAGCGCAAACCTATATAGACTTTCTTTGAAAAGAAAAAAAAAACTATGAATACATTTTATATTTGTATTGTTTTAGAAAATTTTAATTAAAATATAGATTGGAAAATTTATATGTCCACATACTCGACTATTCGATCGTGCTAATTCCGAATATGACCATGAGAAATTCTCTTAGGTCTTTATATGTTGGTTTTCTAGATTAACAAAAATTTTGCTAAAACTGTCTTTGAGATTAGAGAATATATTGAGTTTTCTATAGGACAATAATATTTTCTGTTTTCTAAAAATGTAAAATAATATTATCTCGAAGATTTTTACATTGAAATGTTGATATATATATAGACAGATCAAAAAAAAAAAATTTAGCGAATAGTTTGATAGCCTAGAAAACTAGTATATGATAACCTAAGAGAATTTCTCATGGTTATATTCGAAATCAACATATTTAATAGTCCACATTCCACTAGCTATCAGTGAGAAAGCGATTGACAATTGCAAATGTTCTCTCATGAGATACGAACATACATCAATAGTTTAAATAGCAACAAGAATTATGATGGATGGTAATCGAAATTGTTTTTGTTTATCCTATTTACTTCATAACACTGTAAAAGAAAAACTTTATGGATTGGCTCATTCTTCACTATTTAATGATCATTCCAGGTAAGGAAAAACTATCTGTTAACGTTTGGAGACTATAGTTCACGAGAGAACTTATTCAAGTATAAAATCACGTTTCGCGACACAGATGATGTTTATTTGATGAGTGCTGGAGAGTAATAGAAAAGTCTAGAATAGTTTGGTTTTCCCAGTCTTCATTCTTGAAATATCGAAATTTTATTAGGTTTTTCAACGAAAAGCTGTATTCACGTGAAAAATCGATGTATGAACAAAGTTCATAAATAGATTTTTCATGTAATCACAGCTATTTGTTGAAAAAGTCAGTAGAATTTCGATATCCTGAGAACGAAGGTCCGAAAAACCAAACTATTCTAGACATCCACTAGTGCTCGTCAAAGTGAATCCAGCTGAAACTTTGTTTATAATTGAGTATTGTTATCTATAAGCTTCATGAAAGTACCTTTCACTAAATGAAAATACTATTCGAATAATCATCGTATTGTTAGAGAGAACTCGAAAATAACAATCTTCGATCAAACTACCTGATCTAGCATAGACTGGAAGTGGTTATGAATGCATCTGAACTAAATTTTTAATGTAATATGAACATACTAATTTTCAGACTTTCAACATGTATAATAGTCAAGATACGAGAAGTGAGAAAGTTTCGTCTAGTATTAGAAAATACATAATTTGTTTCTCTACAAACTCCTAGTAGTTTTAATATAAAACGATGACAGAAACAAATTTTAGAAGATCTGCTATGTTATTCAGTAAATAGCACGGATTATTTTTGTGTAAAGAAATATTTAATTTGTGAAATAAATTCCATAGATTGACAAAGCTCGAAAGACTTTATGGATTATGTATAATATAATCTATTTTTAATATATATCCTTTTGATTAGACAACAAATCATGCTTTGCGAAAAATGATATATTCTTCGGTGAATTACTTGTTTTCAAACTAATTAATTCATAAATGACACTTATGACAAAATCACGTATTTACACAGAATTGATTGATCGTCTTATTAGAAAATTGGATAAAGCTTTATAAAACGAGTCAGCTGGAAAATCAAATATATATTGTTATCCAACACTTATATACAATTCTATAAGTGCATTTGACGTAAAGCTTAATGAAAAGTACTATGGGCCTTAGGCACTTGCTTAGAACAGATTAAGAAACTTGGAAGCATAAAAACGATTTTGTATATGTAGGAATTAATGTCGGATTTTTTTTTAAACGCCGGTCATCAGTTTTTGAATAACTCTTCAATGTTGATAGCTATCGAGTTCGGGTTTTAGTCATTCGATAGAGTGGCGCATGGAGCGTCTATCCATATAAAGTTTATTAGATTCAAAGAAGTTTTCCATGGATGTTTTCAAAGTAAAAAATATTTCATTGTCTATTTTCATAAATTTTCATAGCAACCCAGCCTCAAATTACACCAAAATGTAGCCCAAATTCATTTGTCATGGCTGTAGCTGCTCCATCTTCATTAGATTTAATTGAACCAAAATCTCCAACTATTCCATTTATAAATTCACATAAAGGAAAGACTTTGCTCATAATACCAGATGAAGATGTTTTCAAACTGAATAAACAACAACTACCAAATACTGGATATGTACACTTAATGGATATTCAGCTAAAATTCATACAAATTTAAATAACCAATTCATCAAAACGGTTGAAGATAGACAATCTTACCGAACGATATTCTGACGGTATTATAAATACTATGGAATACTTAGATGGTTTATAATTTACAATTACTAAACGAAAAAAAAAATGACACATTATCAATTATTTTGATCTCTGTTAGAATGTTAACATTAACTCATATCATATAGCATGTCCTTCGCTAGTCAAAATTCTCTAACACATTTATCGACCATTTCTCATGTCAATATTCTTTCTTTTTCGACATTTCTACGGGCAATCAATTCTTTAATCTGTTTTTCTTCTACGATAGTTCGCAGAAATTTCACGTATATGTCATTAGTACCTTACGCTCTATTACAATGATCACCACCTTAAGGTTTGAAAAATTGATAAAAAAAGTACATCATAGTGTTCTTACAGTTTCTCATTCATAATGAAGACTACAGACCTGAAATTCCGTATTTATTTAGTACTAAGTAGTTACAATAATCTACCGAAGTTGTAAAGAATTTGCTTTTGCTAAATGCAAGAACGATGAATTTTAAATTCGTTTCAGAACTTCTGAGATATCCTTTCTAGTGATAACAAAATTCTTCCATTAGTAAGACGCTGTAATCCTCACAGAAACTGATATTATATAAAAAAGACGTAGTATTATTACTTAGGGCATACCAAGAGTTATGGCCACAGTGTTTAAGGGATCTTTTCGGATAAGAGGATTTATTGAGCAATGAAATATCAAATATACCATATTATAGAGCTTTTTGAGACGCATCGAATAGTATATAGTAAATTCTGTTTTCATAGGACTTTAAAGGAACTAGAGTCAATTTACTGATAGACGACTACATACTCACACTGACAAGATGATCAGAGATGCCACATAAAGGAGGTTGTAGCTCGTGAAAAACTTTACAAAATCGTATGTAAGAAAAAATATTTTACAAATCCTTTTGACTAATACCAAGGACCACAATATTCAGAAAACTTATCGTGCTTGGGTGTGGATGTGTAGTTGTCTATCAGCAAATTGACTCTAGTTTTTCAAAATTCTATAAAAACAGGATTTACTATATACAATTCGACGCGCCAGAAAAAGCTCTACAATATGGTGTATTTGGTTTTTCATTTCTCAATAGATCTTCTTATTTGAAAAGATCCTTTAAATGCCGTGGCCCGAACTTTTGGTATGCCCGAAATAAATAAATATATATATGTCATGTTTGACAAATTGAAATGTTATACGTAAGATGAACAAGCATGAGCACATAGATAACTTCGTTAAGGATTTCAATTATTCTCATTCTTGATAAGATATTGTTTTCCAACTTTTTGTATTCGATGACTAGCACAGCTGGCGCATTTCTCAGATGATTAGAGTTCGTATAGTTTAAAATATTCATACCCCATTGAACCGTAAGCTGAAACTCTTAATGAGTTTGTCTAATTGGAATAGAATGATCGTTCCGAAGATACATGATTTTTTTCCTGTTCTTTGTACTCGGTGACTAGCATATCTTACATATTTCTTAGATAATTAGAGTCAATTGGGTGCAAAAATTTTCAACTCAAAGCCTGTTAGTAGAAAATTTTCAAAAGTAGAACTCGACAAACTCTAATTCCTATAATGCATTTCTAACATGCGATTGAAATTATATAAATATACTAATAAATTTTCTCTACTTTTTAATGTATGATATTCAATATTTATTGGAATATAAAACTTCATAATTTTTACTGTTCGTTTTAATATTTTTCCATGGAAGACATGAAATGAGATTTTCTACATTTGAAAATTATTTTATGATCGTTCTTTTTTTTTTTTTATCTATTCATATGTATCAGAAGTTCATTTAATCAGTTGTCGATGTTTCTTGTTTTTGATAATATTTCATCCACCAATTTGGTATTTCAATATTATCTATAGTTGTATTACAATCATTCCAATATTTACTCATAATAAATTTTATTTTCTCTTCAGTTGTTTGTAATAATTTATTCATATCAAATGATCCAATACGTATTCGACTACGTTTAGCAATTATAGATTGTTGTGTTTTATGATCAATACATTCTAAATCATATAATTCTTTTTTTAAAAATGTTCCATATATAATATTTTTTGGTGCTTCATTTAACATATCCCAATTTTTTTCTATACGAAGTAAATTTCGTAATTCATATGGACTTTTACCTAAAATTGAATTTTGTGAATAATAACTTAATGCATATGATAATGTAGAATTTTTTAATGTATCATATCGATGACGCCAATAAATAGATGCCATTGCAGAAAATTGATTTGGTACAGAAAAAGCACGACCATCAAAATAAGCTGAATGTGATAAAAGACGTTCTTGTACATGTTTATTATTTATATCAGACCAATCTTCTTCATTAATATATTTATTAAATTTAGCTGCTGTATATGATGCAAGTACTGAAACAAGTTTTTGTATACGACCAGAATATATATGTTCACGTGGATTTTTTTCTATAGTATCAATTGTTGAATATCCATCAAAAACAAGTGAAATTTCATCAGATTGATAAAAAACTGTTAATGGATTAAAACGTTGTAATAAATCAGCTGATGTACGAATAAATGCTCGTGTCATACGTTGATCAAATGGTTTATTAAAACCATGTGTATAATTTCGAAATGAAACTCCATCAATACGAACAATAAATGGATAAGATGAATTAAGTCGTTGATCATTTATTGCTTCATATTGTTTTATTTGATTTGCAAGTAATTTTTCATCATTGAGTAATTGATCATTATTATTATCAAAATGTTCTTTGTCAGACATTATATCTGTCATTATGAATATAAATTGCTTTTTAGTTGGAATAGAGTTACAATAGTTTATATATATACATATTGACAAGATGTATAATTACATTGCATCACATAATTTATCAAAAGCAATGAGTCATCCAAGAAATGATTTATATATAAGGTTTTTTTTCTTTTTCTTTTTATCCAGATGTCAGTGATGTAAAACAGACTGTTGTGTGATGCAACATATCCATACATTATAGTTGCGAAATATCATATGATAGAGATTTTAGAAATATAAATCTATTAGATTTAAGTAAGATTACATGTTTTTTTTTATTGTGTTTTCCATTAATTAAATGTTGAATCAGTTATGGACGAAAGATTTAAGCAAAGTTTTATAAGATATTTTCGTTCTATTTATAGTATCATAAAATAGTACTATTCACTAGAGTAAAGATTTCGATAGCATAGAAAGTAGATTATCTGATAAAAGAGAAAAAAAATAAGAAGAAATAATTGAGTCTATTTATGCTTGTATACAAATTCTAAATCAACATAGAAAATAGAAACTTAGAGATAATTGGGCACATAGTAGAAAAGCTCGTATATATATATCGGTCATGCAGTACACATGAAAATGTGAGCTAATTTGTTTTTAAATATACAAAGAAAACAAAGAAGGAAGACATGATTATGAATGTCATTTAATGACACTCAATGCTGAGCTATAATTCGGAGCAAAGAGTTTATCCTTCATACTTAAGCATCTTATTCAAGGAATAATAATAGCAAGAATTTCAGTAATCTTTGCATAACTATCAAATGATAATAACATCAAGAAAAGCTTTATTTTGTTTGTTTATGATAATTAACTATTTTTCTATGCCTAGCACGTGCTGTTTGATACTAAACGTTAATCATCTAAATCATATATTCTCTCTGTTCGTCATTTGTTTTTTGATTGAAAGAAAGAATTTGCTGTAGAATATCTTGAAAGAGAAATTCATCGACATCGAATGTTTGGCAATCTCTGACGTTATAGAAATATCAAAATATTTTATCGATCATATAAGATTTCTTCGTAAGTACATTCGAATAATAAAAATCAGAGCACAGCGATTATAACTTATGTTTTATGTTATTTAGTTTGATTATTCCTGTATTTGGTTACATTCATTTGAGGCGTTAACATTTTAAAAAGAGAAAAAAAAAAGGAAGAACATATAATATCCTCAGCTAATAATGTTAATTACTCATCATAATAAGAGAAAAATGGAGGTGGTAAGCAAATTAATCATAATGACGAATACCGATACATGAAAAACGTCTAAGTTTATGCGTCGTTTCCTTTTTTTTCTTTCTCTTTTTTCTTCTCTCTCTTTTTTTTGCGATACAACGGAAAACTATTGACTCAACAATCATCTGTATGATAAAAAAAAAAGAAAAGAAAAGAAATGACAACTACTGGTTGATTGATTTCTTAATACATATCTCGTCCTATGCTCTAGTCTATTCGCAACTGTGACAAGTATATATATATATACCGCGAGTGACAAACATACATTCGATGACAAGTATAGAGAACAAAAAAAAACAATAGAAGATATTATCATCTATAATTCATTTGATTTACTACAGAATACGCTTTCGTTTATCATTGTCTTTTCATCTGCGCTTGCGCATATTCAATTGACATATAAATGTAAGGACCTTTGTTCTCAAAATATCTCATGTTTATAATATAAAAATATTTTTTTTTCTTTTTTCTTTTCTTGTAATCTCTATAGTTATTTTATTGTATAACTATAATGGCTACTGCAACATCGAAAAACTTTTTAAAAAGTAAACCACCATCAATTGATGTTCATCATGATTATCCAACAACTTCATTAAATACAGAACATTTTATTGATGAAAGGTATCCAACAACATATCTTGATACAATCCCATCATTAATGCTTGAATATCCACGATCGAAACTTAATAATCAACCATCACGTTCTCGTCATAGTCTTCGTTTTCGAACTCAACCTGTTACTTTAACAGAAATTTACGAAACAGAAGAAGAAAATAATATTGAAAATGATAATCAACAAGAATCAAAAACAAAAGTATGCAATAATAATTACAATCATTTAGGACATTGGACTTTAATGGATAATAGACAATGCACAGGAAGGAAAAAAATGTCATTAAAATATTTTCTTAAACAACAACCACTCAAAACAACACAAGAAGAACTTTGTGAAACAGATGAGAATTAAAACATTTGTTGTTGTTTTTTTTTATTATGTATATATTTAAATTTCTATTCTATATGAAAATTTCATCAAATAAAAAAAGCAAACAAAAAAAACTAAGCATTTAATTATTTTCTTTTAGAAACATATTTCGAGTATTTTCATATAAACGATTGGAAAAATATTTTTGTTTATCTCCTATTATTGATCGATGATCAGTTGATAATGTTGTTGATGAATTTGATATTGTAAGAAATGATTCATCTCGTTCATTTAATAAATCTTTTATTACTGGTGATTGTAATTCAAATTGTTCATTTGAAGTATTATCTATTTCACGTTTTATAGATGTTCTTTTTTGAAATTCTTTACTAATATTCATATTAACGAAATTTTGTGTATCAGTAGATCTTGTTGGTGATGGAATTGTTCCGGATATAGTATGATTTTCAACAATTGTTTGTTGTTGTTGTTGTTGTTGTTGTTGTGTTAATGTAAAATGTCCCAAAGAATAATTCAATACAGCAAATATCAAGGGAACAAGTACAGAAAAATAGATAAGATAAAAACGCATAGCGATTGGATAAATACATGCTAATAAACATGATGATAATACAAGTAAAAATCGAAGAAATGATTTTGATAACCAATGTCCACAGGATTGTATTGCTAAATCTGATGATACAATTACTTCATTAGTTGGTGTTGTTGTTGCTGTTGTTGTTTCTATGATTTGTACTAAATTAATACCAGATTGTATATTATTACCATCTATAACATGAAGTGATGATAACAATGGCATTGAATTATATACTGCTTGATGTCGTTGTTGATAAGAAGAAGAAGATTTTTTTAGACATGACGAACAATTCGACATTTTTAAACGTAAATATAAATAAGTAGAACAATCATATAATAATTTCAATAAACCAATTAATGATAATAATAAACTTATTAATAATGGTATTAAATTAAATAAAATAGTTTGTATAACACGATTACGATCAAACCATTCTTCAAGATAATTTATTTGTGTTGTACCAGGACAATAAACTGCTTTAGGTAATTTTTCATTTGAATCAATTGAATAAAGCAATGGTATTGTAGATGTAAATGAAAATGACCATACACATATAACAAAACAAAAACTAAATCGCCGTAGAAATTTTCGTAAACAAATACCACATGTTTTTAAACATGTACGAGTTGAATGATTTTGATCGGATGATGATGATGGAAATAAACATAAAATAAAATTTGCATGAATTGCAACTATCGTGTAAGCTAAAATAGTAAATGAACAAAATCTTTAATTGTTTTTCTTTTTGCTTAATTAAATACAATCATTATTAGAATCTAATTTTTTATTATTATTACATAGAATAGATTGTTTTTTTAGTATTTACTAGTAAGGATTATAGATGTTCTTTTGACATCTATAGCTGAGAGCTACTAGTAATAATTAAAAAAGAATCATGTTATAGATCTAGGAAAATTGAAGATGTATTAATCATATAGGATAGTACTCGATTTAATAATAATCAAATGAATTCTTTCTTTTTTTTTTTTTTGATTTTGTATCGATCATTGTTTCCATTAAATTATGTACAGAATAAAATTTCTATTGATTCATTTTATATCATAATATTCTTATAGTTTATTAGGTACTGTATTTTATTTATTTGAATGAAAATCGGAAGTATATAAAACTTCTGAGCCTTGCTTAATTATAACGAACAGAAGAAATTATTGTTTTTCTTTTTAGTAATTTTTTTATTCATTCATTATCTTTCATAATCTAATAAATTATATATGTTGAAGATAATATTCGTAGATATTTCTGTTCTAACATAATTGTTAACCGAGGCATCAAGAAAAAATTATATTCTTGGATTATAGATTATAACACACATTTTCTTGCCTATCACGGTGTGTAATAGTTGGGGTAATTTAAGGTTAAGATGACTTGCATTCATCTTCTTTCAACATATCTCAACAAGACTAGTTATTAAATTCTTCTTTTTCTCTATAGAAGATAGTAACTCAGACATCGAAAGATCCGTTACTAAAACTTAAAACTATTCAAGTGTGTTTTTTTGGCTAATGAAAATCATACCGAGTATAACTATACACGATGTGTGTAAATAATAGATTGCTCGACAATTGATTTCTGAAAGAACTTTAGAACGAAAAGTTTGAATAAGATAAAATAGATATAAACAATTAATTAATGAACTTGATAAAGCCGTGCTTGACAAATAAAAATTTATCATATTATGAAATGAAGTAAACATCATTAGAATAGGTATAGCTAAATTTAATAGGACTAAACATAACGAGGCTATCATTTCTATGAATAGCCATGTTGAAATGCGAGAAAATAAAAATAACATTGGCAATAATATTGGTCACCATCGACTCTTTTGTTTTTTCATCAGTTTTTCTTTTTTTCTTTTTGTTATCAGATTAATGTTGATCTAAAATAAATAAAGACATAATCGAATTCTTTTTTCATTAATTATTAGTTTTATTTTTTCAATGACAACGAATAATTTCTAAAAATCGATTGATCTATTTGCGCACAACAACTATATTCTTGACACATCATATATATATATATATATATATATATTATACAAAAAAAGAAAAACAAAATCTAATTTGATCTCGGACTCGTTTTATTATTGTCATACAAAAAAGATTAAGAAAAAGAATACTAATGTTAGTAGTAGTTTGTTTTGTTCGCGTAAGACTCGAGGCACATCTAACGACATGTAATTATTCTCCTCTTTCTTTCACACATTTATATTTTAAAAAAACTGTCAAAAAATAGACAAATCTTTATCGAGACCAACTTATTCTTATCGAAAGTCAATCATATAAGATATTTATCTAAACTACATATGAATTAAAGAGAAGGGATAAATGATACTTCATAGAAAAACCATGTCTCTATATTGAAGTAAATTGTTAGAACAGTTGTTATATATATTTAATATATGTAAGCAACTGATTACTTTGTGAATTATTTTTAGAATAGGAACAGTCGAACAACACACAAAGTTAAAGCTCGTCAAAAGAAAATAACAATCGTATGTTAATCGTACCGACCGGTTTCTTTTTTTCTATTATAGAAAAAAATAATAAAATTAGTGATAATGATTGCAATATAACAAAGAATTGTAAATACTAACATGAATTATTTAGATGATAAGATAGTATGAATCAAGTCAAGTGAAATAAAGCCTACTACGTATTTCCTATAATCAAGGCTATTGTTTTAATCTTTTTTTTTCCTTATTGTACACACTGTAGCCCGTGTCTTTATAGCTCAAGATCAATAATCATAAAAGAGAATGTTTTCTTTCCTATCTTATTCTCTTTAAATTAGCCAAATAAGACATGGAAAACAAAGAATTCCCATGACTTATATCTCTTTTTTTTATGCTCGGCTACATATAAAAATGATGTACAAATAATCAATCATCTTCTTATTTGATTTTTGAAAAAATATCACTTATTCTCATACACACACAAGTGCATAACTGTTTTTCTTTTTCTTTTTCTTAATGCTAACAACCAAAAAAAAAAAGAAAAAGAAGAAGCGTTTATTACAAGTCCATCTCTTCGAAATAATTTCATAGCAATTACAGCATACATCATCATTGAATCCAGAATAAAAAAAAAAAAAGTAATGATAGTTCTATACATCATATGCTTCATTCACTTGTCACAATCAAGAATAGATGAATAGAAATGGTAGACTGTAAATATAAGTGGAAGACGTAACATACACATGCGTGCATTCTTCATCCAATCACAATATTATGTCCTTGATAAATATGCATAAGATATACCACTTGGTATCATTAAAATAATCAATGAATATTTCGATAGACACAATAATTCAATGTATTATCTAATAGAATAATACATATATAGTAAATGTCTCTTTAATTTACTTGTTGATAGTTGAGATCAATTATTAACGTATTAAGAAAACATTTTAGCCACTAGATGATATTTATCATAAATCATCTTTAATGATTCAAATGATATGAGACAAAACCGACAATTCAATAAATATATTATATTCTAAAAAGTCTTAGACATTTATCTATGAAAATATTTAATGTTAATTACTTTAATAACAACGTGGGTACATATGTCAGCACTAAGATTACATTGATTAAATCTATTTCAAGGGATTAATGTTGTTGTCCATAACTCGATAAGTTGATGCCTGTTCTCGATGATTCCTGTTGTTATAGTATTTGACAGAGTAACAGAAGAAAAAAAAATCGGCAATAGTTACGATTAGTACAATTATTTTCATCATTATTTCCCACGTTCTATATCCTCATTTATTCTTCAGCATAGTCTATCTATAAGTAACATAATACGCAATATATTCATGCTGATGTTTGTCCTTGTATAATTTCTATTATGTATAATATCCTACACAAATAATTATTCGAAGACTATATATAGAATAGTGTCTTACGACGAAATCGGATAATTAATGTTTTGGTTTTGTTTCTATAGTAAATATTAACAGATTAATAGCCCTCTACCCCGCAAAAGTTATTATAGACTCGAAATTTTCAGATACTTCCATCAGAGAGATATGGAAGTTGTAAAGACCGAAAACGATCACAAGTTCCCATCCGCAAAATTCTATACTTCTTTTTTTCAAGCTGTAGTTTTTTTCTTCCAAAAATATCGTTCCTACAGCTCGAGAAAAGCAAAGATACGGGAAGCATCATCAAAAGAAAAAAGACGTGTTTTTTTTTCAACGATACTAATTTTTTAAAGGCTACCGAATTATGTAGGAAGAAAATTTTGAAAAAAAACACGTACTTTAATTATACCAAGGTATTTATAAGAAAAACAACTGAACCCAATCGGACGTATCGTAAGTGAAAAACTTCGTTGTTTTTTTTTTGTTCAAAAATTGATTTTGAAAAAAACATAAAATAAATTTTCCTATATGTATCAGGACTTTTTTCTCCAACTAAGTGATCGAAAATTAGCCGCGTTAGAGGTCCATGATTCTTGCTCTCAACATCTTTACAAAGAATAATCGCAGCGCGAGTTTTTTTAACTAGGAATTTCGAAATTATATTAGTGATGAAAAACCACAGATCGAAAAATTTTGATTTTAACATCCGAAAAGGAACGAAGTTTTCTTAAAGCAAAATCCATGGAAACATATCTCAGAGATCAATAGCTGGACCATTCATTCTATATGTTTTCATGATAGATTTTTCAGTGAAGAACCTACTGATATCTTCGTCATTTTTCTATAGACAGATGCTTGAATACTTTCATAAGTTATGCGGAGACTTCATTAAAACGATCAATTGAAATAAGATAATCGCATATTTTCTGGTCCAGATGAAATAATGTTTAGGAAAAAAAGTTAATTCAGAATTAATTCAACTTTAATCGATCGATTCTATAGTATCTCAATTTAATTAATGATAGATACTATAGTGATACCTAAGAATCATCGATGATTATGAGATATGTTGGCGGCATCCTTCTTCCTCTTTTCAGAAACCTACCAGACTTTCAAAGTTCTGTTTCAAGTAACAGATTTAAGAGCTTCTTTCTACAAAAAAACACCATCAAACAGGATTCTCGCGTTTCTTGAAATGGACTTTATCTATGCGTATGAACTACAATACGGAAGCTGAGATCAGTTTTCATTAGTAGATTAACACTTGCAGTTAAGACAAATACGAAAATAAAGTGAAACTCACATTTACATTAAGAGAACAGTTAAAACATTAGAGAAAAGAAATTTCTCCAATATTCAAGCACATCACATACGTTTGAATAAAAAATATCAGTGCTCGGAAAAAATTCAAATTTAAGTAATGAAACAAGAGGTTCGAGCCTTGCTTCAAGATGTGTTCATATCACGTGACTTTTTTATCTAAGATACTTATGAAAAAAAAAAGTTCGACTCGGATATTACATTGCAAAATAATTGCGACATAGATCGTATAAAGATTTTTTTTCAAGTCATATTTACTATGGTATTTAACACATATCAAACACTCATAGATCTAGTTTGATTTGATTTCTTCTTAATTAATATATTGTCCGTTTTGTTTTATTCTAATAGTATAAAATGAAATTAATGATATCGATTGATTTAAATGACTCACTATAACTTGGTGATAATCAATATTCACGGTACTTCATGTCTCACAGTCATTTATAATTAGATGTAACATGTCAAATTATCGCCGATAACAACTATTAAATATAGACAGTTGGGTAGAGTCTTACATATTCTCTGTCAGTCATTGCATACATCTCAATTCTTTTAATTAAAATAGGTGTAATGTCAATAATGAATGCAGATAAATACATAGTCAAAATCGAAACTTCTTAAATTCTAATCAGAAGTAGACTGAGATCATGAGAAATAGAAATGATCGAAATTGTGAAAAAACAAAGTTGCTCAAATTGTAACTAAAGATAGTAATTAAATGTTCTTTAATTTCAAAGGAATTATGCTACAAATCACACCAATCAAAATAAAACAAAGAAGGGATGACTACCAAAAAAACAACATACATTTATCGAATGAATAAATCTATAAACGACTGTTTAAGAATTTGTTTTAGATTTGATACAAATAAATTCTGAAATAATTTTCTCTAAATCGAGCATAAGACCATGGCCGATACCCGAAAAACTAGAATAATAGAAAAAGGCAAAGTTAGTGCAAAACACATTTTGTAGCATTCTTTTGTTGTCTTCACAAGAAAAACTATCATTAATTTCGAGTAGGAGGACGTTGATTTAATTTATTAATATATGGAACAATCATTTTAATGATGATTGATAAGAACCGAATAGTTAAGAAATAAAATCTATATTTGTTTTCTCTGCTGTTGCATTTGTTTTTTAATGAAAAGAATACATATTAAATTTCTAGTTGTTTCAAATCGATAATAATGAACAATGAAAAAAATTGCGAAATATTAATTTAATCAATTTTAATAGGAAATATTTTTGAGAGAGACCATGGTATTGACTTAAAAAAATATTGTAAAAATGCAATATTTTCGCAATAATAAAGTATTCATAGTTCATTAGAATCTACATGATGCCTATAATCTCAATTTAAAACAAATTAATCAATTGGACGATTTCTCTCGTTAGTTGAAAAAATGGCTGAAAGTAGATTTATACATCTTATGTTCATCTTTATTTGATGAAATTATTTGTTGAGCAACAAAATGAATAATAATGAAAAAATAGTATTTGTCACTTATGATTCATTTTCCTATCTTTTATATAGATTAGGAGAGAAAAAAAACAATTATATCAAATGACTCAATTGAGTAATATAGAACACGTTTAAAAGATTTTAGTCATCAAGGTCAATATTACATAGAAGAATGATAAATTATATAATCATTTCCAAATTCTTTGATCCATTACTAATGACACATTGATTTTTACATTAATCATATAAAATAATATAGATTGCGTAATAAAAAATGAATCCAACACTGTTCAAAGAACAACCTGTACGTTCGATCACGTTGTCAAATTCTACTCACGATCGAAGCAATATTTTTTTCTTTATGATTCTGATTCGCAATAAATCTTCAAATTAATCGTTGACAGACTCATTCTTTCTAAAATATCATTTTCTTTGTTACCTTATTTGTTAAATTTATAAATTTTAAACCTTAATCAATGTTAATTAGAAAACAAATCGAACTAAGTCAAAATTTTAATTGTGACAAGCATAATATTTTAATTCACCTTAAACCCTAATTTTTTGTTGAGTTCTCTGCAACGCTTTTTTGATTGAAATACAGCAATTTGATTGAAGACAAAAAAATGGTCGCTCCATAAGAAATTGAAAAAAAAAAACGACTTTAGAGGCTTCAGTAAGATTAAACGTCGCAGAGAACTTAAAACACCATTTTTTAAATATTAAAGAGCAAGAAATATGATGAAAAACCAATTTCTCAGTTATTGCTAAGTGAGACCATGTTGCCGGTCAAGATTTTACCTCGAAACGAATAGGAATTTCATCGTTCTAATATAAAAGTGTATTTATTGATTAGTTCAGATTTATTTTATATAATAAATCAAATAGAGTTAAAATATTTTGCATAGAACAATAATCATTTTTGATTTAAAAAAACCAATTTCGAATAAGTTTTTTTTTTTAAAGCAAATTATTATTAGTCATATTAATACGAAAAAAAAAACAAAATGTTGCGTAAACTAATTAATATGTTAGTAGAAAATAAAAATTTAATATGGATGTGGTTGAACATTTCGATATTCTAATAAAACTTCAAATTGAAAAATTTGTTCTTCATTTGGTTCTAATTCTTCACCAATTATTTCAATACCTTCACCAATTATTTGTATTTTATTATCTAATTCTTCATTATTATTTTTTGGTGTAATTGTAAATTTTGCTGATGATATTATTTCTTTATATTCATATTTAATATTTTTTATTTTAACATTTTTAATTATTAATTTAATATCATATGATGCTGATTCTCTTTTTTGTGATAAAATTTTAACTTGACGTGTATAACTAACATCTGGATCATTACCACAATCTAAATCTTGTTTTTCACCTTGTGATATATCCGGTAATTGTGCTTGTCCAACAACTCTTCCATCTTCTCGAACTGTAACTGTACCTTTAGGTAAAAATCGATCAGATTCAATACGATATTTTCTTTGAAATTTTCCTTTTTGTGTTTGTTCTTGAAAATAATTTTTTAATCCAGCATATTTTTCTAATTTAATATTTGGTTTAACAAATGGAAGTGAAAATGTTGATTGTTGAATAAGAATAAATGGTTGATCAATTGAATACCAATAAATTCCAGCTAATTCTCCTTCAGATTCAATTGTTGGAGCTCCTCCAAAAGCTGCTGAATCACAACAACATGCTTTCATACAACAACGTTCATGACGAGAACTTCGAGGATGAACAGTTTGTTGTAAATGAACATCACCACCAAATAATTCAGTACGTTTTATTTGATAATCACGTTTTGTATTATTTGTCATATCGGCCCATGCCTCAAATGAATGATTATCTGTTTCAACATTTAAATTATATCGTGGTGACCATTGAATTCCTTTAAATTTTGAAAAAAAAAATAAAAAGAAGGTCAAAAAAAGAAAATTACCATTAATAAGATATGAAAGTGTTGCATCTCCGGGTTGTTTTAAAGCAAAAGTAACTTCAGTTCCTTCTTCTTCAGGAATATTAACATATTCAAGTTCATGATTTTGTGCACGAATATATCGACCTGTTTTAATATCTTTTAATAATAAATCATTTGAACGAATAACTTGACATTCAATTGGTGATTCACGTGCACGATGAATAAAAACAGTTTGATTTTCTAAATTATTTGCTTTTGTGACACTGTTTTGACTAATTACATCAATTCCTTCAACACTAAGACTTCCTTTGACGATTTGATCATATACTTCACGTGGAAAATACATTTTAAAATTCTTAAAAAAAAAGATTTTTTTTTTTGAATTAAAATTTTTTTTTGAATTAGTTTTCAACTATACCTGTGGTGCATTGAATCTTTCACGAACTTCAGAAAATGATGGATATATACGAAGTTCTGTATATGATGGGAAGATTTTTTCTTTATCTTTACCAGAATTTGAATCAGCACGCATGTTTTTTTCTTGTTTCTATAAATGTCTAAAACAAATTATGATAATTGTTATGTTTTTATCTCAAGTGCATAAATTATATGCAGGTTTTTTTAATTGGTAGATTGATAAATAAAAAATATCGTCGTCCTACGTTGTTTGTTTCTATCTATCTCATAAAAATAAAAATGAAAGGTATGCACATATCAGTTTGTTCAATAAAGAAAAAGAATAGATGTCTCTGCTATTCATAAAATAACCAAAACAATTTTTATCATAAAATTAATTTGATGCTAATAAAAAAAAAACAGATAGTTTTTGTTTACAATACTACTCAAAATTATAAGAACAAAGTGTAATTTGGATTTTTTTCTGTCATGTTCAGTATCTATCCAGGCCGAAGTCACTCTCTTGGATCAAATAAGATCTTTGGTCCGATGGTATTAAAGCATCTAGTTGCGCTTTTTTATAATTATTAGGCAATATGTGAAATATATCTTCAATATTTTTTCTAAAGACGCTTTCCACTTTCCCAGATGGGACATTCATGCCCCTAAACAACTGTTTACAGTGACAAAGGGAGCAGTTCTGCTGATAAATTATTTATTTTATTTTTATTTTAGATTACAATATAACATCAGTTTAACGAACAGTCAATTATTCTTTTATCATATATTATTATTTTAAACTGTATAACGACATGAAGTCAATCAAAAGTGAGTATAAATTATTTTCTTCATTTTAAATTTATTATTGAACAATTGAATGTAATAACAAGTTAAAGTATACTAAACAGTTAATTTTCAGCTAATTGTACGAGAGGAAAGCAATGGAGAGATAGCGATCATACGGAGAAAAAATACGGTCAAACAATGAGTAATGTTCAGATGTAAATTTAACATCATCTCTTGGGATCCTATCGGAAATTGTCGGATTGTTTTGGATATCCGACAGGATCCAATTTTAGGATTTTTCGATCTGGGTAACTGAAATCGAAATAGTGATTTGGATAGTCAATGAATTTTCTATCAAATGCAATATTCCAAGAGCTTGGCTATGATGTTCGCATCGTTTGCCATTGTACTTACATAAGCTTTTTCTCTATGAAAAGAGAGGCTACTTTCTATTACGTCCCCCTCTCATAAATATATACACATAATTTACTTATTTAAACCAATTCTTACCCTTGTACGTATTTAGGAATAATCTAAATAAAAAAAAGCGTATTTATTCTAAATTGGTAGCCATGAAACGTAGTTCATAGGTATTTTAAACGATACAGTTGAGTGCGTCGAATAAATCTCAATAGGAGCTATCGGTTCATCATGTGTAAAAATCACTAAAAAAGCTAAATGGAACTTCATATTACCAAAAAAGAAGTTTTTTCTAAACAGGAAACCGATAAATATAAATGGTTTTTTTTAGAAACCGGTGTCTAGAGATATTAGATTATGGAAGTTTGGTAGCGTTAGACAGGACTCAAGAGTACCTATTTGTTATCTACGATCACATGGTAACTAATTATGAAGTTTGGGCGTTTTAATAATGTGAT